CTTAAAATCTTCACTATAGCCTTATAGCAAAGTTGAGGTCTAGGACATAGAGTTCGTTATAACAAGAGTTGACTGTACACACTACTAAACTCAAATTCATTTTTATTTGATTATAGGGATTTATATAGGGTCATATCCCTTCAGATTTTATATTTACATGCATATGCACAGCACTTTCGGCTAAATCAGTTTAGTATGATGTACTGTATATCGTATCACATGTGATCTCCACTAGTTCCCTGCTAGTTCCTAAGAGTATTATTACCAAGTTTCCATAAATCACGAGATGATCAGTAAGGGGATAGTCTAATTTATTTGATAAGCAGATCGCATAGCATTTATAAGGATATATAGTTAAAAAAGGAGAAGGCCCAATGTAGGCAAAACTTTATTTGATAAACACATACAAACCGACTATGATTAATACATAGGCAGACAAAAATAGCCAAAATGAAAGTGAACTATTTATTTTTTCGCATTTTGATTTCTCTGACCCACGGGTCAGCAAAGTCACGTGACTGTGGCGTAGTAACTATTCAAATTCTGCTTCTATAGTATCTATGTCATTCCAACTTAACTTGTATATTTGCGAAGCTGAATATGACTTTATCAATTGTATCTTATCATACCCGATATCACTAAATAAATCATAAACCTTTCTTTCCCTTTCTATTCTTTTCTTAATGGCATTTTTCGAGAGATCACCTGGAAGCTGTTTTGTAACTTCCTTGACTAATAATCTCTGAGCTTTACGATCTCTATAACTACTTTTGAACCTATCGAAAATTTTTTCAAGCTTCTCTCCAAACGAATAATATTTCTTAATAATCTTCTGATTCGTAGCTCTATTTTTGTCTTCAGCTGTAATGATTGCCTCATACAATTCAGTAAGGCTCCTGGGGTTAGCAATTGGAGGTTGTGTATCAGTGCTCGCAGAACTTGACGTTTTTAGCTCCTTGATAAGTCTCTTCAGAGTAGGTGAATTCCCATCATTAGTTGTGGTCTTCTGCTTTTTACTAGATGATTTTTCGATAGAAGCAGGTTCCATAGTATGTTTATTCTGTATGGTACTCGAGCCCTGGATTTCAAAATTGTTGGTTACTGTTTCATCGTCGTCAGTTTCCATATCATCAGTTTCTGTATTATTAGTTGATAGACATATAGGGCATAGCTTTCGTGGATTATCGATATAGTTGTAATAGATAATATGCTTGCAGGTTAAATATACGAGCGGTTTCGAAGAACCTTGAGGTTGAGGGGCGATTCGAAGAAAGCCTAGAGGAGGGAAGGACGAAGAAAGGTCTTCAGAGCATTTAGCGCATCTCAAAGTACTTTTGTCTTACTGAGTTACTGGACTCTCGATCCCTAACATCTGTATAGGTGGTAAAGATAGGGCAAATGTTCCCATTGAAGGTGAAATTTCACTCGATTGGTTAGCTTTGCTAACGAGATCAGGTACTGGCGGATTAAAAATGATACCAAGGTCATCAGCTTGATTTAAGATGTCCACATTCTTTCCACAGCCGGGAGCTGGACATACGCTTAGAGTGTCAAGAAAAAGTTTTTTTTCAATACAAAGTCTGTGAAAAATATGTCCGCAGATGAGGTATGAGAACGCCTTAAGAGGGAACATTAAAATGTCATTGTCACATTTAGGGCATGAACCTAGTTCTGGGAAATCAATATCTCTAATAGTTTTATCTTCGAGACTTTTGAGGATATTATATCCAAGGTTTTTAAGATTAACAAGAAAGGGTTTCTCAGATTCCGGAATACTGCTCTTTTCTCTACCACCATAATCAACTATGCTGTATTGAAAAGGTAATAATAGATCACTATTATCTGCCTTTCCACATGAGCAGGGTAATGTTCCATCTTTATGGATTTTTCCCACACAAGTCTAATGGATCATATCACCACAAACATTTAAAACGAGCGATCTAGGCGGGTCTTCTGTCAAAATGGGGATATCACATTCCATACATGGCTCATAATCTGGGATAGCTTTAATAGATTTAAACGACAAAATATCCAACTCTTCACGAAGAATATCCTCTGGGAGGTGTTTCAATATGTGCAGTGCGAGTAATTTTAGGGATTTGTTGCGTCTTGGTTGTACTTCATAAATATCTCTACTTTGTGTATTGCCGACTGGGCCCATATTGATATCGTCAGTAGTGATTTCTGTCACATCAAATGGAACTTCTGTATTAGCTGAGCTCTCTTGGCTTTCTTGGTTCTCCATAGTATTGTTTTCTAAAAAAAAACTATGTAATTTCTTGCTTGTTTTTATAGCACTTGTAATTTTCGCAGGAGAAAACATTCCCCGAATTTTCACTAGGAATTACGCACTACATTTCGTCATTTGTTAATTCCTTGCAAATCAATAAAAAATGACGAAGGATTAGCATACACATCCCCAAATATCATATGTGAAATAAGGATTGCCAGAAAAAATATCTATACCTGAATATTGTTTTATTAATATGATAATAGCGTGGCCGGAGACATGACATGCAAAAATTGATTCGAAAAAATAATGCAAATATATATGCCAATCCTACGTCACATAGCCCCTATTCTTCGGCAAGAATTTTACCGATCCTTTCACATGATCATTTTCGATTTTATCTAATGCTATTGCTTATAATCGAAGAGGCTCTAGAATGCTAAATTAAAGATAAGTAAATTTAGAGTATTATATTAGCTATGGAACAAAACTTACTAATCAATTCTGATTTTAGTGTCGTAGATGGAGATTACGAATTTTGAAGGCTCTTGGATTAATAGATGGTGAAGAATCCGAGATAGATGATGATGGATTTGAGATTGATGATGGTAATGATGACGATGACGATGATGATTATTGGGATCTTCCATATGACGGTTGGGATTATATAGCCCGTTATGGAGAGGAAAAACTTTGTCAAGCCCGATTGGCTCATCATCGTAATATCCTTCTTAGGTTTATCTGAACAAGCAAAAAATGGATTATTTGACACATTTTCTAGATCCGATGCATTTGGAGTATCAGAACACAATGTAATATTGGATGCGTTAGCTCATCCTGTGGAAGGTTTAAGTCTTTCAAAATATGATGAGCTCGGATTTTATTAGTCTATACAATTTATTTTCAAATGCTAAAACATGATATTGTGATATGAACAGTTCCAGAATTTAGCCAAGAAAATTTTTTTTATTGATACATGATGGTTCCTTTCACTTAAGTAAAGAAGCTACTTATGCTCTATTCTAAATGTATAATTTTCACTCTCTTGACCATAAGTTAAGGAAAGCTAATATGAATGATATACTTTATTTATTCAATGTCAAAAGTGAATTTTTTTAATTTTGCAAATAAAGCAATGGAATCTATTTGTCTAACCACTCCTACCGTTCTATATACACACAATAAATCTTCAAATTCTTGAAATACGTCTCTTTCACAGCTCGATTTTTAAAACATATTGGAAAACGCGTCTATCAATCCAAGCTGGTGTGTTCTTAGAGTCAAACCTTTGCAATTTAAAATCATCATACAGATGCTTCGGTACAACGAAGTAATAGTAAATTAAACCATTGCCTGATGTGCCACCTAATTTGTCGCAAAGAAGTTTTAAACCAGCTGGACTAATGGGATGGTTTTTTGAAATAGTCATCTGGAAGACCCGATTTGGAGCAATAATTGAATCAACCGATGGAAAATTTTTTTCCTTTGGTTGATAAAACTTTCGTTGCTCGATCGAATCAATACTTTTTTTGTTGAACCTTAGTATCTTGTCCTGTGGAGGTAAATTGACAACTGCACTTAGATCATTATAATTGGGGTCTTCATAGGAATCTAAAGGACGAATATCAAAAGGTCCTCCTTTCCGCAAAATTTTGTGAGAAATATACTCAAATGAGATACCCAAAAGTGAACTACCTGTGCCCGCTCTAATTTGAGAAACAAGTTTTTCTCTTATACGCGCTTCGAACTGATCAGTCACTCTTTGCCTCAAATAATCTGATGCAAATCTTACAGTTACCCGCGTATAAGGTTCATTATCATCTTGATCAGGCTGAAGTTTATGTGAACGAAGTTTTTCAAGAAGTATTTCTCTCGTCATCGTGATATTGCCATCTTCATGGTCGTCATCATCTTTGTCGTCATCATCTTTGCCGTCATCATCTTTGCCGTCATCATCATCGTTGTCATCATCGTCGTCGTAATTGATCGGAAGGTTCACATGGATATGAGCGATCTTGTGACTAATGTCATCCGCCCCTACTACACTTTCACCAACATAATCAAAAATATTCTCTTTAACACATGAAATTGCTTCTTCAAGTCTATTTTGGTGAGTTATATCATTAGCGTTTTCCAAAACAAACCGAGGGATTCCTCCCCACCTCCTAAACAAATATACAGCTTGTTTTTTTTTTATATTTTTATAAATTTTCCTGCACGTATCGATCTCACTCCACTTCCATATTGGCATAAACCGTGATGTGCTTCCACTATACTTATCAAAGTGCTCATAGTGACTCTTCTTGGGTGAGCAGATTAGAATTGTTTTAGCGTCAACATCACTAGGTTCCTTACCATCCACTATGTACCAAACACTTGATTTTAACAGGTATGGGTGTATGTTATCATTGTATTCAGCATTTTCCCCTTCAAAGACAATCGGTTTAGTTTCATTTGCGTTATCATATACAATAGTCTGATTTTGTAGTGCGAGCAAATAAAGTAAATAGTATCCGAAATAGGTTTTTCCGATACCCGGATTCCCGGTTATACGAATTTTGTTTCTTCTAAAGACGGAAACTTGCAGATCAAGATAACATTTACGAATGAACACAGCGGAAGGTCCATTTTCCTTTCCCAAAAATCGTTCGCCATAAGATGCATCCTTTAAAACTCGCCAAAATTTGTTCAGTCCATCTATTTTTACACGTTTTTTGGGAGGCTCTGTATAATAGATTGAACAGGAAACGAAATAAAATAATCAGTGTAAGATACTAAGTATCGACACCACGGATATAAAAAACCATTTCACGCGTTCATAAAATTATTACGACTCACTTACCGGAGGCAACGGGTTGCTCTACGATAACGTGAATGTGTTTTTTGGGCGGGTTTGACGATAAGAAGCAGGAAAAAAAGCACAAGAATAAGTAAGTATTCGGTATTATTGGCGAATATGACACGGTGTGGGCAAGAATGAAGTTCGCTTACCTCCTTGAAGGTCATTAAGCAACTTTATGATTTTTGTTGAAGCTCCAAGAGGTATTCCAGAAACTTTAAGACCTTCATGCGTTAAAGTGAGAAATGCTTCACCGTCGACCTCTTGCGCTGTTAAGGTATCTATGTGACTATCAATGTTTTTTAACTTCCTTTTCAAGAATCCATTAAGTAGTTCGACATTAAATCCCTTCACTTCCTCGACAGTCGGAAGAGAAAGATCAGATAAAGGAAGATCAGATGGAACTCTGGTGGAGGAACCTGCAACGTTAAACGACATAACTTTAGCGATTAAAAAAGTAATGAAAGGGTAGTACGAATGGAAAAAATTTTTTGGGGGCATAAGCATAGGTAAAGTCTAAATTTGGTTGATATTGTTACACAATTATTTATATGCATTTTACAATAAAGTTCAATTAAAAAATGATCGACCTTTATAAAATTTTTTTTTTTTACAAAA